ATATATAAACTGTGCTTTGCTGTAAATGTTATAAATTGTAAGTGTTAAATGATATACAGGATCTGTGATATATTCAACTTGTGTAATTATGTAACGTACATTTTATTGTATTAAAAGTCTCGCCTCTATTTTAATATTGTATTATGGCTGTACAGTATGTTACTTTTATAAACACACTGGAAGAGCGTGTCCGCTGTTTTAAAAAGCGTCGTTTCCAAAATAAAGTTATAATAATTATATAATAGTATGCAACAGAAACAGCAAATCATTTTTAAGATTATTAAACATCACCTTTATTTTCATTGTCATTCGTATTTATACAGGCTGTACAAAGATTTGAAATTATGAACCATTTTCTAATATTGTTTAGCGAACAACCTTTAAAGATCGTCAGAAAAGGTCGGAAAAAATTAATTTTTTTTCTTATTTAGCTTAAATATTTTTTCCGAACGCATCTAGGCGAACGAGAAAATAAAAATAAAATTTTAATGATGAACGTAAACAGTGTAATAATGCAACTGATAAATGATTTAAATTTATATAATTAAGGAAAAAAAAAATATATATATATATATATATACATATATATATATAACTATTAAAAACAAAACCAAAGAAAAGATTACCATTAAATAAAATAGGTCGGGTCTTCATTGATTAAAATGTGACGAATTAACGATAATTGAAAACAATTCTAATTTTAATCATTTACGCGAGCACGGAATTTACGCGAGCACGCACGCGCGCAAATATTCGATTATATATGAATTTTTATACGCTGTCCATACTAAGTGATGTTAATTATAAAATATAATTGTAAACCCAATTAAGTGTGTGAAATTAATATGCAATGCACGTAACAAATATACTTTGCATGTGTTCATCGGGAAGATTATGAAACAAAATGGACGGTGTGTACCACGTGACTTTCGTAAACCAAGGAGCGGAATGTCGCAACTCTTTATATATATGGCTCTGCGTTATTACCTTGGTTATTACATACCGTAATTTGCACGCAGAAAGAGCGGAGAATAGGATCTTCTTTGATTAATGGCAAGTTACTAAGTCCCTTAGAAGCGGGTGTCCTACAATGGTTGCGTATTTTGTAGAATTGCCTTTGTATTATGGTGCATCGTTTTGTTATGCTCTCAATCAATGGACTACTTAAAGTATACAAATTCAATTTGATCCGCTATGTAACACACATTAGTGTTCAAACTATGTTTATCTGTGTACATAATGTACCGTATTTATTCTGTTATAAACAAAATATTCACAAACAGTAATAATAAACAGTTCAAACTCTGTTAACAAAATGCAGGTACTGTAATTGATAAATTGATAGGATATTTTTGTACAGTCTGAAAACAAACCTTTTTTAAAATTGATTTTAAAGATTTTTTTGATGACTTTCAACTTTTGACATTTGTTACTACCAATATTATTATATTTATGAGATAGTTATTTAAACCGGTCCTGTTTTGAAACCAAACTGTTGCACTTTCCGAAATACCCAAATAATATATTATATTAAAATAAAAGTAATAAATAAAAATAAAATAAATGTAAATAAATAGGCACATTATTATGCCAATCTTTCGTGTGAGAATCCTCAACTCTACATTAATTTAAAGTTTGGAAACCACCACCTATGAATAGAAATACATATAGGCCTATATGCAGAACATTTAACCATTTCATTTAGTTTTTTAAAATATATGATAACTACAACCAAAAATGCACATGATGCAATGCAACTAGTTACATTTTTTTCTTTGAGAATAAAAAAGAATCTCAGCCTCCACCACGATTCGTACCCAGGACCATTCGCTTACACGGTTAACGTCTTACCAACTAAAACCGTAAAGGCATTAGTTGGTTGATTTGATCTGGTAGCACTGAGAGTCCTTCAACTCTCAACGCATCCCCCATGACAAAGTCCGTGTATGCCTATAGTATAATACAAAATCTGAATAGATACAACCCTACTGTATATTATGTAAGGCTGGCTAGATCCTGAATATATAGAATACATTATGTATGCAAAGGTTTTTTATTGCTAATTTTCATTACTCTGGATTATGTGTACTACAAAATTAAAGCTTTTATAATATTAGGCATAAACAATTAGACATCAGATTTTTAATTGTAGTAAAGTTTTACACGTGCACAATTGTTGTGCAAGTTCGCTAATTTTAACGATAAATGACAAATAACCCACTCATTAGATTTGTTATTTTTGCATATATCAGTTAAATACGGAATAGAATCAAAACAGATAAATTGATTTCAAGTTGTGGTTTTTTGTAGGAAAATAATTTTTATTTTAAATATTTATCAATAGGCTTACGCTTATCTTTAATAAAGAAACCCTGAACTTTTACGGCCCTATTCCTCAGATACACTCGCTTAGCCTTCATCTTGGTACAAAAGCATACGCTGAGAGCAACGGAGAACACAAATGCAAGAACAAAGAGAAAACATGCAGCTGGTACAATTACGAACCAGAGGCTTCCTTCACTGTCCAATCCATTTACTGAAAGCGATAGAAAGAAAGTTTGTTACTTAAAAATATAATTTATATATTTATATAGCACAAATTATAAAACAACTTTAAAATCAAATGCGCTTCTGACTGAAAGTTGTAATGTTAGCTTTTAAGGTAAATATTGTAAACGACTGCTTAAGAAATGGTAGAGAGTTGCATAGTGTAAAAGCTGAAAATGTGAAAGATCTGTTGAGAGGGGACCGAAGAGACCGAGAAAGGGTATATTAGGAAAGAGGTCAAGAAGGTTGGATGGTAGAACAAATTTGAGAGCTTTCAAATTTAAAGAGGTGAATTTTGTACTTAATCTGGTCATACATTTTAAGCGAATGAAGATAATAGGTGTAATGTGTGAGCGTTTGTGAAAGTTTGATTCTTGTGACAGTATTTTGTATTCGTTGAAAACTGCTAATGGAATTTTTGGGAAGGCAAAACATGAGATAACTACAGTAGTTTTAGCAAATATAATGAAGGCATATATAATTTGAGTGGTATGGCTCGGGAGATATTCTTTAATAAGTGCAAATTTGAGAGATGTGTTTACTAGATTGATGTTGTTAGTCATGGTGAGATTTTCGTCAAGAATAACTCTAAGATTGTTTACATTAGAGGAAGGATAAATAATGGAGATGTGTTTTTATTGTAGAGATATTTATATTAGAGCTAATGTTATTTGAACAGAAACTAATGAACTGTGATTTGTCACCATTTAAACGGAGCATGTTGATGGATGGGGGCATGAATTTCAGAAATGCAGTTCTAAATGCGCAGCTTAAAAGAGATGGCATCAGATGGATCAAAGTCGAATTATAATTGGATGTTATCAACATAAAGATGGTTATATAAATTATGCCGAGATAAGTATACACTTGCACACTTTGTGTGCAATATACAGTAAGCTAGCAGCCGCATAAAGATGACTAACTCTCCTTAAAAAAATGTATTCGGTTATACTTGCCTTCTCTTACTTGAAGGCTTAGTAAGTCGAATGTAATGTCAGTATCATTTATTGATTTGAGTGCTTGGCTAAATGCTTCCTTTACTTGTTTTTCTCCAGCAGATTTGTCGGTGACAACCAAGCTCATGTCCACAAATATACTTCCTTGTCGAAATCCAGTGATCTTGATGTCCTGCAGTATGTCAGAGATATCGGCGACTTCTTTCATCTTTATCAACAAAAAATGATTAAATAAGTAAAGACAGCACATCTAACATCATTACGTCTGCATTACTAGGCATACCAGGGAAGAGTTGTAATTTCACTGTTCTCTAGGCATACTTATCAAGCAATGGTGGTGTGGCTGCATAAAACGTCTCAAGAGTAGCTTAATTAACAAAGCCAATATTTGTCAAGCCTTGAGCCAACTGCCAGGCCTCTGCTGGCTAACCCCACCACCGTAAATGCAACTGATATCTGGCCTAAGCCTATAACAATATACTACCACTAACACGACACATTTAATGTGTATTAGCGTACAAATAATTATAATTGTTCGGTTGGGATGGGAAAACTAATGTAGAACAGAAGGGAAACATACCATTTTTAAAAACATCAATAGATGGGCACATAATAATATCAAACACTGACACGACAACTTATCTTAAAAAGTTATTGCAGAGGGCAAGAAGAGGATATAATAATTTTATATACCATTACAGCTGGTATCTAAACAACAGAAAATAGTTTAGTAATGCCTTCCGATCCACAGCAAATTATTAAGTATTTTAAAGCTGCATATTTACACCAAATTCGAATTTTCGGATCGGAAAGTCTACCGAACCGATCCGAAAATGGAATCAGTGTGTTATGTGATTTATTTCAGAGTTGACGATTGATACAGTTGAGAAATAAAATTGTTCTTTCTGTAAGTATTTTAATTATGGTTCTTTTTATGGTTTTTTTTTCTGTGATTTTCTTTCATATTGTACATTCACATAAGTATATGAAATTACCATGTTCTTAACAGATGTATATACATCTTTGAATTCTTGGGACGTTGAATCTTCTAACGCTTCTGAGAACTGAGCTTCACCATCACCAAACAGAGAACGTAGTTGATTGAGTCGAATAGATGTTTCGAAACACTGTCCCACTAGAAAGGATAGAAAATTATAATTAATAATTGACAATTACAACAACAGCAGCAGCAGCAGAAATAGAAATTGCAACAACAACAACAATAACAACAATAATAACTAGACGTATTTTTTCTGTTGTTAAAACAGAACATAGGGATTTCCCTCATTGGCATAATGAGAACTGATATTGAAATTAAAATTAAAAACAAAGATGAATAATCTGTAAAAGTAAAATCGTAACAATATCTCAAACAAAATGTACAAAACATACCAGAACAGCCATCAACCTGTCTCTTATACACATCTTTCCACAGTTTACGAGCGAAAATTTTTAATTTTGCGTTTACCTGAGCTACAGGTAATTTGAAACGCTTCGGAAAACGAAATTTGCGTTAACACATAATTTGATTACCTGTTTATAAATATTTTATTTAATGAATGAAATCATATTTTAATATGTGCATCTTTGATATATGGTCGAAAAGCGACTATAGTGCCAGACAGAGAACCCCTGTGCAAAGAAACTGGAAAACGGAATAGAAGAACAAAAACAATGGCTTTTCACTAACGAGGTAATGTATCACCTGATCTTTGAAATAAATATCAAAAAGGCTGTGTATTTATCGAAATTACATAATAACCATAAAAAAAATATCGTGCTTTATAATTACAAGGAGCAAAGGCGAATTATAAATGCACGTACCAGTACTAGATCACATGACCCACGTAATCATTTTGAAAAGTAGCTCACCTTGATCACAAGTGGGACCCCTGTAAGGGCAGACACACGCACACACCCCGACGTAGCATTTGGCACCATTACTGCAATCAGCATCCAATATGCAATCATCTGAAAAATACAAATCTTGTTTAGCCAACCTGTAGCCACATTGAGGTTGAACCAATATTATTGCATTCTTTGAAGCTTTTCATCGAAAGATTCACCTCTAGTTTCTCTGAAAGTGTTGAAATCGGCTCACTTAATATCGGCATACTAGGGTTTTGTTATCAGTTAAAGAGAAATAGTAGCCCTACTTTTAATGGGAAATATCCAAAACCGCAATACAATCAATTTAGTTATTGTTTCAGAACTCTCTTACCTTCCGGCGGTTGTACCATATTCGTTGTGGAAGATTGTTGCTGAGTTGACATCTGGTTATCTGGTTCAGCCCTCGTTCTTATTGATGTCGTAACACTCTCCGAGTTCGTCGTTGTTGAGGCTGATGTTGTACCATCCTCTAGACTCGTCGTTGTTGGAACTGACGTTGTAAGGTCCTCGGGGCTCGTCATTGTTGGAACTGACGTTGTAACGTCCTTAATACTAGTTACTGGGGCTAATGTTGTAGCGTCCACGAGGGTCGTCGTTGTTTGGACTGACGTTGTAGGGACTGACGTTGTAGGGACTGACGTTGTATGGACTAACGTTGTAGGGACTGGCGTTGTAGGGACTGACGTTGTAGGGACTGATGTTGTAGGGACTGACGTTGTAGGGACTGAAGTTGTAGGGACTGAAGTTGTAACATCCTCAGGGCTCGTTGTTGTTGGAACTGATGTTGTAACATCCTCCTGGCTTGTCGTTGTTAGGACTGACGTTGTAACATCCTCAAGGCTCGTTATTGTTGGGACTGAAGTTGTAACGTCTTCAAAAATCGTTGTAGTATGGAGTGATGTAGAAACATCGTCGAGGCTCGTTGTTGTTGGAATCGATGTCGTAACGTCCTCTGCGCTCGTCGTTGTTGGTTGTTCATAATCTTCAGTTGTATGAATGAACTGCGTAGTGACAATGTTTTGGTTATATGGTACGTGTACTGAAAACGCTTTCTCGGTAATACATGGCTGTTCTACGTTATCCGAAGCGATGACCTTGATTACATACTCTCCTGACTGCAAATACCCAGAGACAGTTAGCTCTCCACTGTCAGAATCTAATTCAAATATTGATTTTGAATCGTCGCCCTCAACCTTAATTGATAACGTAACATATCCGTTTTCACCAGTGTCTGAATCTGTTGCTGAAATATTAGTAATAACTGTCCCATTAGTGGTGTTTAGCGGAATAGTTATGTCTGGATATTCTCCTACGAATTCGGGGCAGTTGTCATTAATATTAAGCAATGTGATATTAATAGTAGCATAATCATTCATAGGTGGAAATCCATTGTCCTCAACAACTACTGACAGAGTGATATCAGGATTTTGACTTTCATAATCAAATTCTGCAGCAGTAAATAAATCTCCATTTTCCTGATCTATGGCGAAAAAGATAGATCCTTCAGAAGGAAGAATACGGTACCATACTTCACCATTTTTTCCTGTGTCATTGTCACTTGCATGCACCGTTAAAAGGTATGTTCCAACAGTGATATTTTCAAGTAAAGTGATATTCAACTCTTCATAATCAAACGTCGGTTGATTTCGGTTCTCTTGTGTGATATTCTGGCAGGTCTCTCCTTCAAAACCTACGTAACATTCGCATGTTTCTGGAGCAACACAATCTCCACGTCCATTGCAGTTACCAGTACAAAAGGCACGGTCACATGTTTCACCAGACCAGTAAGAATAGCATTCGCACACGTCAAATGAAGTACATCGTCCATTACCTTTAGAATGTAGAAAAAAAAACTAGTAATTTTTGAAATCCCTGTAAGGCCATTCATGACAGCCAATTTTGAACATGGCAATCCTTAAGACCAATTAATACAGGTTAGCTTACCGGAACAAAATCCGAGATTTTCACATGAGGGAGATGAACAATTAATGCCAGTATAGCCAACATTACACACACAGAGGTCAGGTTCAATGCAATTTCCATGTCCTGAACAATGATTGACAGATTCACAAGAGAAATCTGTACAATTTTCTCCTGAATAACCGGTAAAACACCTGTACAACCAAAAGTTAGACGATATCAGCATTCCTGAGCGGCAGTTAAAGAGGACAGATGGATTTCTAAACATTATGGATGCTGATAGTATTAGTGATGGTAATAATAATGGTTGTGATGATGATATTGATCATGTTCATGACGATAATATGACGACAATGATGATGGTGGTGATGATGATGGTGGTGATGACAATAATAATGATAATGAAAGCATAAAAAATATCATTTTAAAAGAATCTTGCTCACAGGCAAAACGTGTGGATTTTGTTAAGATCCATCACCTATGGTGTAACTATAATAAACTAATGAAATATCTGGAACTTACTCGCAAGAAAATGTTCCATTATTTATAGATGTGTCTTCAATACAAACACCATTACCATTGCAGTTGTCCAGCATAATGCACTGAACGGATTCACTGCAGTTCACTCCTTGATATCCGACGTAACAACTACATTCGTTTGGTCCTGTACATTCGCCCTGGTCGTTACATCGGTTCCGTTCAGAGCAGTCAGGCAATGCACAAGATTTACCAGTCCAACCGTCGTCACATATACAAATGTCAAAACTGATACAAGTGCCATGTCCTAAGTGTAAATCATTATACATAATGATTTACACTTAGGACATGGCACTAAGTGTAAATCATTATACATAACGTTCAAGATGAATAATCTGTAAAAGTGAAATCGTAACAATATCTCAAACAAAATGTACAAAACATACCAGAACAGCCATCAACGTTGTGACAGGACAATGTGTCGCATGTGGCAGACTTCCATTGGTCGTAGCAGTCACAAACATCTACGTCAACGCAGATTCCGTTACCTGAGCAATTGGCGACTCCATGACAAGTTGGAATGACGCTGCAGTCGTCACCTAAACGTTAAAGGTGTAATAATTAGCAAGGTGAATCAATTAATAAATTAATAAATCAATCAATCACTGTGGAATAGAATAAAACACAGATTTGAATTTTGGGGCTTATAGAGATATTTAAAGTAGGTCGCTAGATATTAAGATATCCTATATAATTTTATAATTCCCATCAGCTAATTAAGGACTAATAACTGCATGCTTAATTTTGTTTTGGAAAGAAAGGTACTCAAAGAAGTGTATACCCAGCCTGAAGCTGGTTTGTCCGATTATCAATTAATCAATTGTTTTGATAAAAACAGGAATGACCATTGTTTAAATTCCATATTTTCTATATAATGGATTAATTTGGTGTGAAACACCAAGGATAACCCAAGAAAGTCCAAAGACATATTTAGAGCGTGGTTCTTCGGATGGTTATATAGCAACACCGGGAGACAATTCCTAACTCTTTTCCGAAGAGTGTACTGCGTTCTTTAACGTGCACATGGGCCATAATACACACGAGACAAATGGCTTAAACGTGAACCTAAAACACGTGCGCTTTTTTACTCTTGCGTTTCAGTCCCCCAACAGATACACAAGGAGACCCGGAAATGGAATTGAAAGGGTAACAATAGGAATCCATAGATTTAAGAACTTTTAGTACAGTTAAATGTTCTTGATGGTTCTGCGCATACAAAGTGGCTAAATCAGTCTAGCAAACTGAGGTAAGTTACTCGCTCTCTTACTCGTCAAGTTATAGTTTCACTCCCTTATCTATATGGCAAAAATGTATTTTTTTTTATTTCACCTGTAAATCCTTTGTTACATAAACAGATATTTGTTTCAAGACACATGCCATGTTCCTCATCAGTACAATTATTAACGCCGAAACAAGTGGCTGAAACAGGAAATAAAAGAGTTAAGACTACTTCTTTGAATGACGTAATAACAATACCATATTACTTCTTGGGAATAATAATTATTAATATGATACTCCTACAATTATTTTTACACTGTTCATTATGTGTCTAGAGTAGAAAAACTGTTAGGTTGTCTACACGTTTCAGCGAAATTGACTATTATGATTGTAATTATAAAACGCATTATAGCACTACTTTTTCATACCAAAATCTTCACATGTATCTCCTTCCCAACCTACATTACATCGACAGAAACCGGATACACACTCGCCATTTATGCAATTCGAAATGCATGAACCTAAATACAAGATAATAAAGTTTATCAAAAGATTATAGTAGTGTATGTAGGTATCTAATATAAACATTCTAAATCATAAGATTTTTATCAGTATGGACTTATGTTACCATTTCTACAGTCTTCACCAGACCACCCAGGCAAACATTCACACGTGTTGTTGACACAAGTTCCTCGGCCAGAACACTGGTAGGGACAGCCTGAAAATTAAGGTTTAACAAAGTACCGTAAACTATAAAATCGCTATTATAATTAATAATATCATTTTTACTTTTGCAATAATAATAATAAAAACAAAGATTATTATAATTATAATTACTAATTATCACATATACTTGCAGCGTACCAGTTTGCAAAATTTGCTGAGAGACAAATGATGTATCGTTCGTTACTGCAATATCGTAAACACATGAGTCAATCAGTACCGAGTTTTCCTTTGTGTTTGGTATTGCTTCTAGGCAAACCTCTTTTGCTATCTAAATTGTAATCAATCAAATATAAATTTATAAAATCAACATTTATTTAGAAAAATAGTTTTTAATATTCACTTAAATGAATAGACAAGGACAATTAACCCTTCGATTACATCTCTTCTGATAAATAATGTATAAAAAAAATTCAATGTGCACTATTTTATAATAAAGTTAATTATTATGTTAAGTTTCGTAAATTTAGATAAATAGTAAAATTACAAAATTTCGCAGAAGAAATACACGATGGCCAAAACATGCAATGTATTACCTTCACAATGTCTTGTTGTATATCATTTGTACTGTAGATAGGTTCGTAATTCCTGGTATATGAATCATCCAGCACATCATCCACATGAAAATTAGAAGAATTCCATGACCAAGAATCATATAAACTACCATTAGCATTTGAGCTCTCAATTTTCCCTACAAATGACCGGTTAGAAAATTAAATAATTGACAATTGTAAAGTGTTATCAACATGGTGTTCAACATTTAAGAAAAATAATGATTTTGTCGACAACAATTCAACGTTAATCTTACATGTTTCGACGAAGTCCGTTACATTATTATGATGATAGAGGGCGCCATTCAAACCTTCAAAATCATTGTTCGGATCATCATCCATGAAGCCACAGAGACCCTCCGTTTTTTCGACAAAGCTCATGGTCGGTGTGAGCAATGTGTTCAGGTATAGTCTTCCTATCTTCTCACTAAATTGCACTTCGATTCCAACAGACAAGCCTAATTTGCATTTTGAAAAACCCATTTTGTAAATATTGAATATTGAACATAATTATGACATTGCCAAAATTACATTAAAAATAAAAC